TGAGTGTCTGCAGCTAGTTGTGGTCAGGTAGATATCTATGTTGATCTTGGCTGGGCTCTGTCATGTGTCTGGGGGTCTGCTGGCTACAGGGTGTTCTATGATAGTCTTGGCTGGGGTAGCACGGCTCTCTTGCACCTTGTCTCTCGTCCTCCAACAGGCTATTCCAGGCTTGTTCTACAGTGGAGGCAGGAGACCAAGAGAAAGAGTAGAAGCATGCAAATCTCTTAAACCTTGGGCTCAGAACTGGCACATCATGACTTCTTCCACTTTCTATTGGCCAAAGCAAGTTACAAGTCCAGATTCAAGGGGTAGGAAAATAGAGTCCATCTCTTCATGCAGGGAGTTGCAAAGTCTCAGGGCAAAGGACATGGATTCAGGGACAGGTGGAGAATTGGTGTCATTTTTGCAACCAATGTATCATAGCCCCCAAGGCTAAAGTTGGCTTCCGTGCTCTGCTTACTTCTCCGGTTCTGCCTTCACTTAGATTTTGGCTGCACTGATTCATATTTTCTTGCCAGCTCATTGATGCATTTAAGAAGATTTAAAAAAATATTTTATGTATCATTTATGACGTTTTCAGCAAAGGATCAACCATGCACCTGGTCGGCCATACTGCTTGATTGACATTTTGATGAGTTTCTGTCTTTGCACATATGTGGCTGTCTACCTGTAATTCTCTTTCCCAATCTTTGAGATTCTACTCAAAAGCCTCCTTTATGCTTCTTTACCTCTTTGACTGCCCCTCTTCACCTAGGCAGAGTAGGCTGTTGCCTTTAGACTCTAAAAGTATTTTGTGCCCATCTCTATTAAGGCATGGAATTCCTAATACAGCAATCATAATTTGTGGCGTGCAGAGCCCCTCATTCGAAAATTATTAAGTATTTCAAGATGGTGACAGCAGAGTATTAAAGCAAGAGTGGGGCCCCTTTGAGTGCGGGCCTCTGTGTGACTGTACAGCTCACACTCCCACGAAGCTGGCCCTGAGAGTAACTATTGGTGTACATCTCCATCTCCCTTATATATACCGGATGCGTGTGAGACAATGCTGACTAAGGTAAGCCTGTCTGATTAATCTTTAATCAAGAGGCTAGCAAGGTGCGAGGTGCAATCAATAAATGGTTGTTGAATGAACAGATGAAAACTACACTATGTTCTCAATTCTAAAACACATCATCTTTTTGATAACAGCTTTAAGAAAAAGTAGAAAACCATATTAAATGTCCCTATCCATTGTGAAATGCTTTCCAATTTCAGTATAGTTAACAAAATGTACATCTTAGAACTGAAAAAACATGGTGGGGCCTTTTAGCATCCTACATGATGGCTGTTCTTCTTTATGCTTCATAGAAAGTGAAATGCCTCTTTCAGTTCTAAAGCTAGTTCCTGGGAACAACTTTCTGTCTTATTTTCTCTGATATCTGCTCTTGGCTGATCCCCAGGCTGGGATTGTCTGCAACCTTGGCTCATGATTGAAAAGTCTTGAGTGAACTGGTCTTACAGGCAGCAGGATAGGTGACCAGTCTGCCAGCCTCCCACCAGACTTCTAGGTTTCCTGGGGAAAGGGCCCGCCAACGCCCTTTATGTCATTTATGTAATGTGGCATCTTTAAACATCGCCATGGGGAAAGAGGAAGGGCTTGGCTCCCAGCTCTAACTGTTTTGGGCCTGTGACTTCCACTTTCTGTGCCTCAGTTTCCACCTTTATACAAGGAGGAGAGACAGTATAGGGAGAAGGGAGCTGTTGGGTGGGCGTTTAATCGGAACTACTCCAAGGTCTGTTCCTAGAGAGGTGGACAGTTGGTCTCCCAAGCTGCCTGAGCCCACACATCACTACCCCAAAGCTTTCAAGACCGGAAAAGGTGGAGGTGGGAAGAGGGGAAGAGGGCTTGGAGGATGCATACCACTCTTCAGCCCAACTTTCAGCGCCTGAGGCAGTGTTCCCTCACACCCACCCTGGGAAATCAGAATCCAGACCAGCCCCTCCCCCACACCTTCAGCCCCTCCCCCTGCGGCTTCCCCAATGCGGCCCCCTCCCCCCGATTACAGCATCGTTCTGGGCGCCAAGACGGATTCCAGCCAAGGGACTGCTGCAGTCAGCTCTCCTCCGCCTCTCCTGGCTCCTGCAGCCTGTGTCCTGGCTCTGCAGCCTCCGGCTGTGCTTCGGACAGTCCCCTTTCCCTCACCCGCCCCGCCCCCGCCATGGCATAACCCCTGGCTCAGGGCCTAGAGGTGGGCGGGCACAGTGGGCACGGGTGGGGGCCCCAGCAAAGTCGGCAGGTGTAGCCGGGTTCTCCCTCCACACCGGGGATGCCTCGGCCGTGCGGACTGTGGGTGGGGAACGCCTGTCGGAGGCTCTGAGGCCGGGCACAGCGCCCCACCCTGGCCGGGGCTGGGGCAGAGGAAGGGGGCTCTTTGAACCGAGGCCAGGAGCTGAAGTCAGGTAGCTGACCAGGAAAACCCGAAGGAGAGTCTCCTGACGGGATGTGCCTGGGGGGCCGTCCGTGACATTCAGGGTGTGACAGTGCCTCGGTGGGGCGCGAGACCGTGTCCGTGAGACTGTGTGACGGTCTCCCCAGCCGCCCGCCTCTGGGCTCGGCTCCCTGTGCCTAGGTCGGCTGCGCGTGGCGGTGACACTGTGTGCCTGTTTCAGGGTCCCCGGCGACACTGACCCAGTGGTCCCCGGGGAGGGGAGCTTATTCCCACTCCCGGGGTGGGCCTCCCCAGCGCTGTCGCTCAACGAGGCTGGCGCTCCTCCGAGACCCCGGCGGCCGCCCGCCGGCTGCGACCTCGGCCCTCCCGGGTCCGGTGCGGGGGCGGGGAGCTCGGGCTCCCCCTCCCTCTCGCGGGCTCCGGGCTCGGCAGCCCTGCGCGGGGGCGGGGGCGGGGGCGGAGCGCGCGGGCGGGATCCCCCCGCCTCCCCTTCCTGGTCCCCGGGAAATCCAGCCTCCGTGGCTTGGCCGCCTCCCGCTCCCGCGCCCGCTGCCGCTCGGCGCTCGCTGGGGCTCCGCAGCCGGCGCGGCCCCTCCGCTGGGGGCTCCGCAGTGCCGGGCCCCGTCCCTGCCCGCCCGCCCGCCCGCCGCCGCCGCAGCGCCCCCGGCCCGGGCCGCCGGCACCATGTAACCCGGCCGGAGCCCGAGCCGGGCCAGGTAAGCCGCGGGGAGGGGTGGGGACGGGGCCGCGCTCGCCGCGCCCTCTGCAGCGCCCCCCAGCCTCGGCCTGGCTGCGGCCCCGGCGCCGCCCACGCCCCGGGCTCCGGCGGCCTCGGCTCCCGGCCCCGGAACGGGGGAGGGCTGGGCCTCCTCCGCCGCCCCCGCCCCGCCCCGGCCTGGCGGCCCGCGGGCCTGACCCGAGGGACCGGCGAGGGGACCACGCGGAGCGAGGACCGGCTCTCCGGGTAGAGCCGCCGGGGCCGGCCAGCCCTGGCCCAGCTCTGGCCGGTCTGGAGGCTTGGGTTCGGGAGGGAGTAGCCAGCGGGGTTGCGGGGGGAAGTGGTGGTGTTGGGGAGATCCGGAGAGAAGTTTCCTGTGCTGGTGTGTAAGTGTGAGTGCGTGTCACTGTGTCTGTGACGAGTGTGAGTGTGTCACCGTGTGAGTCTGTGGGTGATTGTGTGCCCCTGAGTGTATGCAGTGAGTGTGTGCGCGTGTCAGTGGGTGTATGCAGTGTGAGTGTGGAGGGTGTTACTGTGTATGTATCTCTGGACATGTGTGTGAATGAGTGAGTGTGTTGTCACCGCGTGTGCCTGTATATGTGTCTGTGAGTGTGTATGTGAATGGATGTGTGTGTGTGCTGGTGTGACTATGTCTCTGTGAGTGGGTTCAGGTGTCTGTGGCCTGTGTGAGTGTGAGTGTGTGTGTGTGTGTGTTGGCTGTGTGAGAATGTGTCTGAGCAGGGTTCACTCTGAATCATCCACACCTGGTCTTTGTCCCCACTCCCCCCAGGGATTCTTGGTGGCGGGGAGCATGGGAGAGGGAGATCAGACTTTTCAGAGTCAGATCATCCCCCTCCCCCGGGACTCCTCACCCCTGACTCAGGCAAGAGCTGCGTTGCACTTCCCACCTTGGTCCCCACCTTCAGCCACCTCAGGGGGTACCCTCTGTGATGCTGCTGGTTGTGTCCTTGCTGCGTGCTGGGGCACCTGGTGGTGGTGGGGCCTGGGGTGAGCTGGAGTGTGTGTGCTTCCTCTTGGGGCCTGGGAACTTGTGTCAACCCAGTAATGTTTCACCAAGAGCCCTTTAGAGCCTGGAGCTGAGGAGGCCAGGTGGAAGCTTCTGCCCTGTTCTTAGTCATCAGAGCAGGTGGCTGTCTCCCAGACTCCCAAGCCCTAAATTTCTAAGTTCTGGGTCATTGGTTCAGCCCACTGGCTCTAGGTGGGTCTGTGCTCTGTGAAGTAATAAAATAATAATAATAATAATAATAATAAATGCCCTTTTATCAGTTTAGGGCTTTTGAAAAATGCTCCCCTCTCAACTCTTTCATCTTATCTCCCCAATAGCCCCCAGGAAGCAGGTGGGTCAGGTTAAGCCATATGAAATTGCCAATATTCAACTGTTCTTGTTTTTTACCTGCAAAAGCAGCAATTTCATGTAGTTCAACCTACTATACCACTATAATGCCAATTTACAGATGAAGGTGTTGAGGCTCGAGAGGTGAATTGCATTTCCCATAATCCCACACTGCTAGTTAGTGGTACAGAAAGACTCCATCCCTGGTCCTTTGGTAACCCGAAGAGCTGGGCTGGGCCAAAGTTAAGAGAGTGGTAGCCCCTGGTGTGCTCTCTGTGACCCTGGGGGCACTGATCTCCACCTTTGCCCAGCAGTCCCTGAGTCCTGGGGCTACTGCTGCACCCAGCTGCCAAGGCCTAAAAGGGAGAGAGAGGGGGAGAAGGGAGGGAGGGGAGGGAGAGGCTTCGTGAGTTGGCAGTGAATCAGGGTCTAAAAAGGGAGCGGGAGGGCTAGGGTGGCAGGTGCTTCTAAAAGGAACATGAACATAGGATGAACAGCCTCTGATACAACCCCCGCATCCCCCACCCCCACTGCCCCACTGATCTGGCAGGCAGTGCCCACTGCATTTTATGCCAGGGGGCTCACGTCCAAGGAGTGAGCTTGTATGTAGTTATCGAATGATGGCCAAGGGAGGAACCTGAGAATTGACTTGATCTAACCTCTTAATTATAAAGTGAGGATACTGAAGCCCAGAGAAGGGAGGGGACTTGTCCAAGGTCACACAGCAAACTTGTGGGTTTTTGGCTAGTCTTAGCCCAGGAACTTTCCAACCCTCCGTGTTGCTTTCCATTCCTGCCGCCCCAACCTCCCCTCCCCACGGCCATCCCCATGCCATCAGAGCTGAACAGAGGGGATCTGGGGAGAAGGATCAGAGACTCAATAAGCCTAAGGCTGTAGATCCTTCAATCTGGGACCCCTTTCAAAAGAGAGGAAGCTACAGATATTCCTGGAGATGGGGATTCCTAGCCATACCAAGCACTGAGGTAGGTTGTGGGCTTTTCTTGATTCCTGCTGGTGAGGCATTGAAGCTGCTGCAGGCCAGACTCCCAGACTTTCTTCTGAGGAAGTGCCTGCCTTCAGCTGCTGCCTGGCACCTCACATCATCTCTCTCTAGCTGATGTTGGGGCTTGAGCTGGCTCAGCTCCATTTTCCTTCATCCTACCCAGTTTCTGATGCATTTTGCCTCCAGCTGGCCTGACAGTTCCTTACTTCGTGGGTTCCTGTTGGGTAGAGAAACTCCTGGGGCTTGTCTGATTTTAGAAGAGTGTGTAGTTACCCTTAAACCCTTTCTAATCAAACATTCCAGGAGTCTCGGGTAAACCATAAAGATAATTGTTCCCATTTTACAGATGGGAAGACTGCAATTCAGAGAGAGGACTCCCATTTGGTTGCTTTTTCTTTTAATCTGCGAAGATCAGTAGAAGAGGTTCTTGGAGTGAGGGGATGAAGAGAGCAAATGACAGCAGCAGCTTTTGTCTAGAGGGTCTTCAACAGACCCCTTCCAGTGTCTTACCATCCCCATGGTCAGGAAACCTTTCCAGAGTCTGGTTTCATTCCCACTTGGTGGATTCAAAGCTTTGTCTCTCAGTGGGGTTTGGAAGAACAGCTGCGTACCCTCCACTATACAAGCATTATGTCTCGATTCTCTCTTTACCCACCCCGCCCCCTCCCGTCTGAAGGCTGCTGGCTCAGCGGGCCTCCTGCCGTCTGGGGAGTCTGGGTTTGAGCTGGGGTGAGGCGGTGGCACAATCGTTATGGTAACGAGCTGCCAGCTCATCGTTGCTAATAACTTGTCAAGTCCCTAGGCTTAAATGCAGCTTGCCTTCCCACCAGCCCTTCTCCCCATGTCACAGAAAGAAAAAGTGAGGCTGTGAGGGAGGGGCCTGTGAATAAAGGAGTCTGGGGAGGTGGGTAGCCTTGTCCTTGGGGTTGTAACTGAAGAGCTCGGGGAGGTCACTTGGGGGCTGGCTTACGCATATGATTACATAAGTTTGCCTATGATTGCATGGACTGTTACATGTGAATACACTCGGAACATACTTGTATAAATCTGTACATGCTACATGATATGTTCATGTGCTTTTACACAGCATCCCATATGCAAACATGCCTCCAAGCATAAGAACATGCTTGTGCATGAATACTGCCTCTACCATCTGCACATAAGGCACCCAAGAAATCTGGGTTTGTGGGGGTGTCCAGGTATGTGGGTGGGGATCTGATCTTTTTCTGATGCGGCTTCAAAGTGTCTTGTTAACAAAGGGACAGAATGGTCCCAGAGTTCCTTCTTCCTTCCAGTGAGGAGCTTGGAATGAGAGAGGGCTGGGGATGGTGTGGGGGCCCCAAGCTCCCAGCTCCCGAAGGCCCCTGCCTCTATGCCCTTTAAGCTCAGGTATCCCCTGCCCCCCTCACTCTCTATTCTTTCTCATCCTCTCCTCTTCCTGTGTGTAAATATTAAAGAGCTGAGCCTGCAGGGCTGATGTAGACATGGGGAGAGAACAAAATTAAAAAGGATTCCCTCGCCCCCATCCCGACACCCCCACCCCGCAGTACCCCGCTCTTGCCTCCTCCCCTCTCTTTTCTCCCCTCCCCTCACTCAGTGCTTCCACATGTCTCTCCTCCCCCCAGTCCAGATGGGAGCTGGCTCCTTCAGCAAGGGGGCTCCGAGCAGGGTGTGGGGAGCTACCTCTCTCTGCCTCCCCCCACCACATCTGCCTACAGGGCTGGGAGCCCCCACGTGAGTATTTCTTTTATTTTTGGGATGGTGGTTAAGAAAGAAAGTGGTTTTTAGAACCAGCTGTGAGTGGCGTTGAGAGGCTCAGGGCTGAATGGAGGTGGGTGGGGTCTTCTCTCTAGGCTCCTTCAGGGAAGCCTCATGTCTCGGTTTCTTTTCTCTCTTTGGACATAGAGGGAAAGGAGGGGACCAGGTGCCCTCGGTGAATTGGAGCGAGTGTGGGAGGGGCAGGGGCGAGGGGCTTCTGCTCTGAAGAAGGTGTGTGGTGGGGTAAGCCTGTTCCTTTCTGGCAGGCTGAGTTTCGGGCAACCGGGCCCAGAGAGTCGCTGGGAGCTGTCCCGAGTGCTGAACGGGACTCGTGTGGTTTTGCTCCTTTGGAACTGTCCTGGGTCCTGAAAGGGGCTGCGTTGGGGCCCGATCATGGAAAGGCCGCTGGGGAGTGCTGAGGGCTCACTAGAAAAATCCTCCCAGATGACCCACTTTCCAAGGACAGAGTCCCTGGATGGAAAGATAGATTTGGGAGTCCTCCCTCTGGCTTTAGGCCTCATAGTTATTAGTGGTATTTGGGAAAGGAGCTCCTCTTTCCCTGTTTCAGTTCCCCCTCCCCTTTCCAAAACTACCCTACTGTTAGTGTAGGGGTAGGGATGGAGAATGATGTTGTGGATGTGAGCTCTCTTCTTAAAGATAGTTTTTAGTGTAACAAGCTTATGGGTACTGGCACCAGCCTTTCTCCTACTGGATCCCAGAAGTTCAGGCTCAAGGCAGTGCTGGATTAGGAGAGCTAGGTTTTTCTGGTTAGGTCTGGGGTGGATAGAGCTCAGAAGTTCAGGATAATTTGATTGACCACATGTCATCCCCCTGCCCACCACACTTTGGAATATAGGACAGAGGATAGTGAAATGTTTTGCAGGCCTGTTTCATTCTCTGCCTACTCCAGCCACAGCTCAGAGCAGCATTTTGGAGAGACTTTTGTTAGGGAGGAAGATTTCCAAGCAAAGGATTTAAGGAGTGTATGTGTGGGGTTGTTCAATGCCATGAGCAGAGAAGGAAAAGGCTACTGGAGATGGGACAGTGGGGAAAGAGGAAGATCAGGGGAAGAAAAAATATTTAAATTGGGGGATAGGGTCTGGGTTTCAATCCTCAACTCCCTTGGAAACCTTTTCCCCACTAACCTAGGGTCAGGGTCATCTCAATTTTCTGGGTTCTTATGCTCTGTCTTTGTAACTCTGAAGGGAATAGGGCAAGGAGTTATTTCTCCAGGTCTCTTCCCTTGTCATCCCAGGGAGATGAGAGCCAAATGTCAGGACATGCAGATGAGACTGTGGGGGAACAACAGGCAGGAGGGGTTGATGGCAGCTTCACCTCCCCATCCCCAAGAGCACAATCAAATATTCAAATGGAATCCTTCTTGAGGGGAGAGGAAGGAGAGGGTTTCCAGATGATGCTGGGCAAAAATTGGGTGTGGCAGAGAGTTCAAGAAAAGGGGGAGGTATCTAGGGACCCCAAACTGAACCAGTTCATCTCTTCCCAGATGTGATTTCCAGGTAATAAGGAGCCCCTCACCCATCATGTTTTTGATGTAACTCATCAAGATGATTCCTCCCTTCTCTAGCTGCTTGGAAGGAGCTGAGTTTTCCTATGCTGTGGGTGCTGGGAGGTGGTGGGTGTGGGTGTGGGTGCCTGTTTGGGGAGGGGAGGTGTTTGTGCTCCACTCAGCTCCCTTGGTTACATAACAGCTTTGATAAGACTTTACTTTGGAGCTGCTGCTACTGCCTGAAGCAATCACCCCTCCACCCCCACACGGAATGCTGGATGTCCACCCCCTTCTCCCTGGCCCCTTCGAGAGTCCTGCCATTCATGGTCCAGTGTTCCAGCAGCTGCTTTCCTGCTATGAAGTGTCTTCAGCTTGCCTCCCTGCTCCCTACTCAGCTCTTGCATTTAAATACTTGCTTTTTTTGTTATCTTGAGCCTAGGTCACCCTATTTACATTTTTAAGCCTCCAGGTCTATGCTTCCTTGGCAGGGCCCTGGGGCTGCGATGAGAGGGGTTCACTGAACATCATGAAGCTGCTTTCTAGGGAAAAAGAGTGGCATCCTCCGAGGTTTTAGGGCCCAGAGATAATTTTCTGACTCTTCCTTCCTCTGCCCCAATAACTGTTTTGGAGTCTGAGATCAGTGGACCATAGTCAGAGGTACTGGGAGGAAGAACTCTGGCCTTGACATTTTCTCTTCATTTCCCCTTTTAGAATTAAAGAGTTATATATATATATATGGGTTTGGGGGTGGGGGCTGCCTCTTGGGTGGGAAAAGGTGCATCTACTCCCTGAGGTGCACCTACTTCATTGTTACCCGCCCCCCGCAGTTGTCTGAGGAAATATTGGTTATTCCACGCATGGGACAAGGGGATAACAGAGCCCTTTATTAAAAGGACTGTTTTTTTTCTTTTTCTGAGGAGGGGTGGGAATGGAGTGAGTCCAGGAGTGGGGCATATCCTATTGAGGATAGGGATAACTTTCCACGTGGCGAAGTGGGAGATTGGCAAGACGAAAGAGCAAATGCAAACTTGTGATGTCACTTGGAGAGAATATGGACTCCTGGCTTTGTGCACAGGGTAGAAGCCAGAGGAGGGGCTGGATATCTCTGTGATTCCAGTGCACATGCATGTGTACTTCTGCCTAGGAGTGGGCATATGACTATGTATGTACTGTGTACATGCATGTGTGTGAGTATGCTGTGTGAATGTGTACAAGCACACTTATGAGTTTGTGTATAAGTGTGGACACATATATACATGTGTATATATGTGTATGACTCTATGTGTGCATCCATGTATATATGTGACTTGAAGGTAATTACTTAAATCTGTGTGTGTGTATGTGTGGAGTACTCACTCAATGATGCATAGATGTGTGTGAGTATGCATGTGAGCTTGTATTTGGGGCACATATATGCACACATGACTTAACAACATACAAATATATGTACATAAGTTGAGTCATACATGTGAATAAATGTGACAGAGAGAAAAAATGAGAGAGCGAGCGTGAGAGAGGGAGGTTCTGACTAAACATTGGGACTGTCCAAAAGTTGTTTTCCCACAAACTTGAACTTGATCCATCCTGATGCCTGTGACTCTTCTCCATAAAGTAGGCTCCTTGAGATCTCTCAAATTCTCATGTCACAGGGACCCAGTTGTTCCTTGCCACCATCCATATGATGGGAGTTTGCAGAGGAGAAACCTGTGCAGGCCTTTGGGACAGCTGAGTAAGGAACTGAACCCAAAGCTGATCAGATGTTATGGTTCTTAAGGGTGTAATGTGGGGGAAGAGTATGGGAACTTGAACGTTAATATTATCCCAGAAATTTCAAGAATCAAGCAGAACAAGTTGGGCTTAGTGGGTGAAAGGGGCAGGGATATTATGGAAGTCCAAATGTGTGCATAACCCTCACACATACAGGGTATGTGGCAATATGTATGTACATGTGCATGTGTACATTACTTGTCTGTGCCTTAATGTACATATCTCAACATAAATATGCTTTCTAACATGTACATACATGAACAAATCTACAGGGTTGTATATACCAACATAGGGATTTGTCAACATGTACACACATGCTAACACACAGATCCATATGATCAGAGTATGCAAAAATATGTGGGCACATGCTAACATTGGCCTGTTTGCAACTCGTGACCACTTACAGCTGCACCTCACTCACCCAGGTTAACAACAGCCAGCAAATAGTCCCTTTGCCATCACATGTGCTTCACCCAATGCACCAATTCATTCAACCAATGTTTATTTTATGCCTGTGATGTGCCACATACTGTGCTAGATACTGTGGATGGTCCTTGCCCTCAGGTAACTTACAATCTAGAGAAGGTAAAAGCCCTGGAACCAAGTGAGGAGAGTGTTAAGGAAGGTAGGAAGACATACGTGTTCACTGGGGGCAGTGGGGACCTATGGAGGGCTTGGTCATTTCTGGAGTGGGGAAGGGAGGGGTTTGGTAAAGGATTCATAGGAGAGCAGACCTTTGAGCTGAGGCTGGAAGGTTGAACAGGTGGTCACCAGGTGGGCAGCTGTAGGAAACAGGAAATGTCCCCACTGGTCTCCCTACTTCCACCTTTGCCAGGCCCCACACCATAGATTCTCCCCCAGAAGCAGCCAGACAAGGATGAGGTCGTGCTTTGCCAGTGGCTTTCCATCTCACTCAGAGTTAAATCCACAGTGCTTCCTGGGGCCTGAGTGACAAATTCTGTGTGTACAATAGCCTCCAGTGACCTCCGTGGTGTCAGGTGCCCCCTCTACAAGGGCTTCCTTTCAGTTTCACAGAGATGCTGAGCGCAGTCTCACCTCCAGGCTGTGGTACTAGGTTTTCCTTCACCCTGAAATGCTCTTCCCCCAGACACCCACGTGACTCGCTCCCTCACTTTATCCAAGTCTTTGCTCAAAAGTCACTTCTTTGGAGAGGCCTCCCCCACAGTCTGTCTTAAATAGCCCCTTGTCATCCTAGCCCCTCACCCACTTTTTAAAGAAAATTTCAGCACTTACCACCTCCACTCTTTCATGTCATTGTTTATCTTCTATCTTTTCCCACTAGAATGTAAATTTCATGAGAACGGGAGCTTCATCTGTCTGGTTCACTGTTGCCCCCACTGTGTCCAGAGGGGTGCTTAGCTCAGAGTAGGCCCTCAACGCGTGTTGGTGAATAGACAATTTTCGATAGATCGCACTGGCAGCCAGTGAGGAGAATGGATTGAGCTGGACCAAGATGCGAGGCAGGGAGACCAGTTAGCAACCCGCTGTAATAGCTTTGGTGAGGACTTAGGATGAGGGCAGCCCTGGCAGTGGAGGTGGAGAAAAGGAGATGCAATGTGCAAACACATGCATGCATGCAAACACACAAGCACACGTGTGCACGTATATATTTTAGCCAGTCGGATCTACTATCTTAGTCAGTAGGGGAAGGCTAAGGAAGAAAGTAAAAGTATCTTTATGTGTATATGTGGTATGTATGTCATGAATGCCCCATGACAAGCTGGATACCCTGGCTGCCATTCTCCCTTCGTTTTGGATCTTGCCACCACCACCCCACATACGCCAGGCTGCAGAGGGCTACCAAGCAGGGGTCCCTCTGGTTCCATTTAGCCAGTGATACAGGACTCCTGCCTTAGGGAACAGGGATAGGGAGCAGAGTCCTGAACAGGGGGAAGGCTTTTAGGCAGTGAGAGCCACAGAGACTTAGAGACACACACAGGGAGGCATGTAGACCCTGGGAGGAGGGCTCAGAGCCGTGAGCTTGGGCCTGACCCAGACTTCCTGAGGCCAGATGTGGTGGGAGGCAGGGCAGCATCCTCAGACAGCATCTAGCCCCCACCTTTGCCCCTCCTCTCTCCTGTGGGGTGGTACCTTGGCCAAATATGGGCTTAGGAGTGAGTGGTCCCCCCAGGCGGTGATGTGAATTCAGGTATGGGGGACACCCAGGGAAAGGGGACCCAATATCTAGAGGACAGGCTGGGGGTTTGGTGGTAGGGGAGGAATCTCTCTGAGACTCGCAACTTTGGCTGTTTTCCCCTCTGAAGAGAGCATGGAGACTTGAGCTTGTGTTGCCGAATGAGGAACTGAGGTTAGACCTCAGGCAGGACCAGTCAGCTGCTAGGGTGAAGGGACTGAGACTTAGTACTCTGTGGGGAAATCTGGGAGGGGTGCTGGTGAGAAAAGGGGGAGGAAGTGGGAGTTGTGGGTCAGTCCCGCCAGGATGCCAGTCTCTGACCTCTGTTAGGTGTGGTGGGGGCATTAAAGCCTGAAATCCTCTTTGAGAGTTCCTCCCCCAGACATCCAAGCCTGCGCCAGGGTTGCCTCCTTCCCGAGGCCGGTGTTAGAGCCCCTTGTAGTTTCTGGGGTGTATGGGGGCCTTCTGCCAATCTCCTCGCTCATCCGGACTAGGGGCGGGGGCGCTGCAGCCGATCCCCTCCCACCTGGGCTCTGAGCATGGGGGTTGGGCCGAAACAGCCGCCAGAGCCGCCCACCTGCCCGCGGTGTCATGGCAACGACTCTGCCCACGTGGACGATGAGGAAAGGGAGGAGAAGAGAGGAGAGGAGACATCACGACCGACGTGAGGATGGGAAGGGGCTCCTCAGGGACCTGCGTGTTGGAACCCCCAGCCCTTCAGCTTGGCTGGGCCCTAGCACCTTTCACTCCAGGGCCCAGGGCGGGGTGGGGCTTGTGCTCCAGTCCTGGCCTCAGAGTGTGCATGTCCTTGAGTGTCCTGAGTGATGATGACCTTGGCCTCCTGCGCTGGGGGCCCCGGGGGTCCTGGGGAGATGGGGCTTTGGCACGTCCAGGCCTTTCCTTCTTTCCCCACCGCAAGTCGGGGATGGTGCCTGGGGCTGAGGGGATGAGAGCCCGACCTACTTATCCATTTTCTCACTATTTTTCAAAAGGAATATGACCCACTTTTCAGCCAATCGGACTGGGGCCTCTTCCCCGGCTGATTCCCTGAGCCCCCCTGCCCAGGCCTCTGCCCCATCCTCAGCTTATTAGCCACGTGCTGGACCCACTTCCTGAGGGAAGCAGGTGCACCTGCGTGGAGGGGTCCTTCCCTGCCCTCTGCGCCAGGCTGGGAAAGGGCCTGTTCTGAGTGGGGCAAGGCTGGACCAGGGCCCGACTGATCCCTCGTCAGCTCCACTTTTGGTGGACCTCACTGATGGCCATGGTCCTGGGTACTTTGAGTGTCCTGTCTGCCCTCCCCATATGCTCCCAGGACACACCCCATGGAGGGTCAAGAAAGGCTGTGGGGAAGGTAGGAGAGGACTGTATGCTTCCTCTCGTTCTGTATCAGTGGCTGCTGGTGGGCTGCCTTCTGAAGCTGCTCCATTTCCACGGGGAAAGGGAGAGCCTGTGGCACTGGAGAACCATGTCTGTCTGTCTGTCTGCCTGCCAGAGCTCTCAGAGAACCCTCCTAGAGGGTTCTGTCTGTGCCTCTCTTCCCAAACCCCTCCCCCTCTCTAGGATATTGGTCTGGGCCTCAGAGCCCCCTCCCTCCCTCAGCTATATTGGCCTGGGTTGGCTTGGGGGGTGATTAGGGATTTAATTATTTAGTTTCTCCAGCTCAGTAGATTAATTCCATCCATCACAGGCAGGCTGAGCCTTCTCCCCCTCTCAGGGCTGCCTGGCCAACCCCAGAGGGAGGGAGCATTATCGCTCACCTGGGCCTAGTATTGGACCTGGGAACAATGGATAAAGTTCTTGTTGGGGGAGGATTTGGTGTATGACGTTGAGAAGACGTGGGTGCCTAAGTGAGGCGAAATGAACATGTATGTCTGTTGTATGGGGATAAACATGTGAACACGTATGTAAGGTTTTGTATCTGTACAGCTTCTGTGTACAGGAGCATGAATGTCCATTGGATGAAAATGCACATGCATGTGAACCCTTGTGGGAGCAAGGATGTGTGTATCTGTGCACATTACGCAATGATGACAATATATGTGAGGACAGATGCCATGTGAGTTGTGTTGGATGACTCTGCCTTGCTGTGTAATCTGCTTCTGGATAATACATGGGTTACACTGTGAATAAGCAGTTTCAGGAACACGTGTGCCCATGTGCGAAGGAGGGATGGCAAGGGTAGAGGTTTCCTGAGGCTGAGTGATGAGTCAGGGCACACTGGGTGTCCACCTGGTGGCCTCATCAGACCAGTTTAGTCAGAGAATGTGCTACTTTAGACCTGCCAGGGCTTGGTCTCCTAATGGTTGAGAGTGTCGGGCCTGGACTCGGACCCAGATTCAAATCCCTCTTCCAGCACCTGTGTGGCCTTGGGCAATTTTCTTTCCATTTCTAAGCCTCATTTTCCTCATCTGTAAAATGGGGGTAATAATGCTACCTATTGCGAAGGATAGTTGCGAGGACTAGACGAAGAAGTGCATCTAAAGCATTTAACGTAAAGCCTGCTCAGTTGTAGGCATTCAAAGAGCTTAGCCTTAGACTTCAGAGTTGAAAGGCATCAGAGATTGTCTGGCCTGAAATGTGTTCAGTGCTCGAATCCATCCGTGCTTATACCATCCTGCGAAGTGACCCTCCCACCTCTGCTTGCATGCTTCCCTGGACAGGACACTCCCAGGTCTTCAGGAAACCCACCTCACACTGGACCAGCCCTGCCTTCTGGGGAGTTCTGGTGCAGCTGCAGAGACTCATTTCCCTCCTGCCTTCTCCTGTTTCTCCCCCCTCGCTATGCCCCAGCTGAGGGGTACTACTTCTTGATGGCTCAATCACTGACCCTAAAGTTATTGAGCACCTACTGTATGCCAGATCTTGTCCATGCAGATACAGATCAGATGAATCCTGGTTGTCGAGGAGCTCACAGCCTGCCAACAAATATTTACCCTACTGTGTTGAAGACCCAAGAGTAGGTAGCAACAGCTGTGCCCTGGGATTGATGGGGAAGGCACTCTTAGGGATGGTTTCTTGGAAGAGAAGATACCTAGACTGTATCAGAGGGCAAAGTTGGGAGGACAGGCCTTCCATATGGAGGGATCTCACAGTCTGCGCTGCCCATGCTCTCTCCCACTGTGGTCCTGGCTCCTGCTAAGCCCAGAAATCCAGAGAGGAGAGCAGAGGCTAAGATACACTGGAGGCTGGGGCAGGATCAGGCAGAGCTGAGGGGTGAGAGGTGCCACCACGTGAGCCTGGCAGTCAGCTAAGCACCCATCTCCATGGGGCCCAGCCCTGTGCTTGACTCCCCATGGGAGAGGCATAGAAGGAGGAGACGGGCCCTGGTGCTGGCAGCCCTGTTCCAGCTCACATAGAGAGCTTACAGGACAGTGTGCTAACCCAGGAGGCAGTCCTAAGATCTGGACTCCATGGCAGAACCGGACATCTGGGCCAGAGGGTAGAAAGGCCATGGGCCTGACCTGGCTGAGAAGCTGCTGCCCAGTGGACCTTGTTGTGGGCTTGGGATCCTACCTGTTCTTCTCTGATGTCCCTGGCAGGCTCAGGTCTGGCAACATCCTGGAGGCCAGGGCAGCACCATCCCAATACTTGCCAAATACATACAAATGAAAGAAGGTGCTAGGGTGCTAAAGTCAGGAGAAGCCAGCATATGAGGACATATGTGCCCGTTACCTTGGATAGGTCAGCTTATTTCCTCATTGCCACAACCTTAGGAGGTAGGTAGTGTTATCCCTATTTTACAGAAGAGAACACTGAGGTTGAGACAGATGAAACAGGTTGTTCATGGTCACGCAGTAGGCTGCAATATAATGGTTGGAGGTAGATGGTTGGCTTCCCAACAACCAGCAGTCAGGGTGCTGGGCCTCTCCTTCCAGATCTCTGGAGTTGGAAGAGAAACCACTTGCCCCGGCTGCAGGGGTTGGTGACGGTCTGCAAAGCAAGGGCCTCTGGTTCCTCAGATGCTGCCATCTTTGTTCGCCAGGGCTGCTGTGCTGTCTTCAGCATGCTCAGGGTGTGGGAGGTCTTCAAAAGGAGCCCAGGCTAACAGACAGTCCTGGATGAAACGTGAGACAATGAGTTTTCAGAGCACCCATTTCTGAGCCAGCCTGAGTCAGGGATGCCTCCAGCTTTGGCCCATGGCTGACTGAGAAGCTTTCTCAGAGGCTCTGCTTCCATACCTCGTGGATTTTAGTGGTTTCTCCTGAGTTATCAATAGCTCACCCTCAGCGCTGTGCATTTTACTTGTACTGTCTTAATCCTGTGAAATCACAAAGGGGACTATTCTTGCCTCCATTTGAAAGTTGAGAAAAGTGAACTTGAGAGAGATGAAGAGACTTCCTTAAGGCCACATGTCTAATAATTGGTAGACCTGAGACATGAACCCAAACAATTCAGCTCAAGGCTCAGAACCCACAGCCTCTCTCACTAGCTGCCTCTGACCAGGGTCCTATAGGAGTCTTGTCCTGGGAGTCCTGCCTTTCAGCAATAGATAGGGATGACTTCCCCAAAGAAGGCTCCTGGAGACCCTCAGGAGGGGGAGCATGGACATGACAAGGCAGAACAGCCTGAGAATTGGTTCTGTTCACAGAAAGGGAAGAACGGGCCAAAAGCACTTGGCCGTGGCTGCAATTAGGGAGTGTGGGGGCATGAGGCTGATTAGGCTGAGTTGTGTCTCATAGGCCCTTTGGTAGTCCTGAAGAAGGGAGAATAAGCCTGAACTTCACTTCTGGTGCCTCTTGGCCACATGGCTCCAGCTGGGAGAGGAGCTGAGGCCCAGAGAGTCTGAAGGAAGACACCTCCTTGGGGCTGGATGGTGGACCCCGAGCCCTGAGAACCCTCCCCACATTCTCATTCTTCTTCTCTGCAATGTGGGGAGGGTCACTTTACCCCCTCTTCCTTCCTCTTTCCCCCCACTACTTTCCTTGAACTATGCAAAGGGGCATATCTGGAGAGAGCCAGATGTGGCTGGAAAAGAACCATCTTTACCTGCTAGTCGAGAGGGGCTAGATAAATGATGAGCAGGGCTGGGTTTGGAGGCTCGATTTCTAATACCAGATCCTTCAGGGGCTCTCCACAGCCTTTAGAGGGAAAAGAGTGGAGGTCCTTTCTGTGGACTGTTGTGCGCAGTTGTAGAGTGGACGAGGGTGGCAAGTGAAGACTCATTCATGCAATAGATATTTTTTGAGCACCTGTAGTGCCAGGCATTGTTCTAGACACTCAGAATACTGCAACGCATTTGACAGACGTAGTCCCTGTCCCCCTGGGGCTTATGTTCTGCTATGAGGAGATGTACTGTAAACATGTAATAGATAAAGAAAATAATTTCAAAGAGCAACAAGTGCTATCAAGGCAATAAAACACGGATGATGTAGAGTGTGCCTGGGGGATGGGGCTCGACTTTAGTTCGTGGGTGGTCAGGGAAGGCCTCTCTGAGCTGAGACCCAAAAGATGAGACAGAGGAAGCCATGGGAATATCTGGGGCAGAGTGTTCCAGCAGAGAGAACATCAAGACAAAAGCCCCCTGAGGTGGGATTTTCAAAGAGATTCCAGGTAGTGTGGGTTATTCACAGGCTGAGCACCATCCAACGGGTCAGGAGATGGATTTAGACTTGGCTCTGCCTAAATGTCTCCAGTGTTTTGGAGCACAGTCAGCCCGTTTTCTGT